AGTGGCCATATTACCAAACTTATGTTTTTCAAAAACCATTAATAGCAAAATGAAAGAAATTTCAGCAACACTTTCTCATGGTACAGTATGTTAAATGAAGAAATAATTAGATACATGCAAAAATTTTCAGTGTGTCTGTCTGCTATGCCCACACTTCCACACACCCCCTACTGGTCCTGGGTGAACCCCAGGGCCTTCCTTCTGGTCACAGCCGATTGCATCAGGGTGGTCCCCTTGGGCTTATCACTGAACTTGATTTGGGGCTAGGCTCAATGAGGTTCTCTCTCAGGCATTTGAACTAAGTGCCCCAAAGGGGAGGGATATTTAGTAATGGGCAGGGGGCAGAGTGAGTGCGGCAAAGCTGGAAGGTGGGCCAGTGGTTGGAGCATGTAGGGCTGCCCCTCACTGTGAGCCCAGGAGACCAGTCCCCATGGAGAGGCCCTCCTGGCTTCAATCCTCATCTCCCACCCCAAAGGTCTGTTGTATTTCAGGTCAGGAGCACTTCCTTTAACATGAAACTGCCCTACCCATGTCTATCTCCCCCAAGCAGCTCTTAAGACGTTGAGAGTAGTGCTTATGTCTGTTATCTCACTCTCCTCTCCAGCAGATGGTCTCCAGGCACACTAGGAAATGGGTTGATTAGGTTAAGAGGACAGTCAGGAAATCTGGCCCCTGAAGGATGTGATGAGTGTGGAAGGCACTGCAGGAGGGGGCTCTCAACTGGATCCCCTGGATGGTGGCCATCAGTGGCGGGGAGAGGCCTGGAGAAGTCTCAGAAACCTGCTGTTGAGTACAGAGGCCTGATAATGTAGACACTCGCCCCCAGGAGAGTGGCTCCATGTGAGCCTCTCTGCTTCAAAGGCATCTGTTATCTGGTCTCACCCACCTCTCTCTAACAGACTGCAAACCACCAGGCTAGCTGGAATCCATGTTCCCACCCCATGCCCATTCCCTGTGCAGTGCTTTTGCTCACAGGGTTTTGGCCAGCTAGCATGCCTTCTTTCTCCCCACCAATGCCAATCCTGCTCAACCTTCAAGGCCTGTTTTAGTCTCACGTCTTTCAAGCAGCCCCCCCTACCCATCGCCCCTAAGCGGTGCTCTTTGGAGTTGTCAGATTGCCACTTACACTTGCATTTGCACAACTCAGGAAGGCCACATGGAAGAGTCCATGGATTCCAGGGCCAGGACATGAACAGGACAGGGTGTCCACTACCCATGGTTCTCACACAGAAATTCAGGCCCTCCTCACCCACTTTTTGCCTCAATCTATGGCCCATCCCCCAAACAAAAGGAGAGTCAGAGAGGTTCCTTTCTCCCACATCCATATCTGGGTCTGCAGTGTGTCCAATGAGCCTCTGGTTTTAGCGCTTCTAGAAAGAAGCCTCCTCAAAGGCACAGGAACACTTCTCCCAGGCTGCAGCCCGCCTATTACCCCTACCCAGTCCTGGGGACAGCCCTATCTCTGCCCCATCCTGCAACATCGGCCCAGGCCCCCAGATCCAGCCCTTTGCAGCCAACCCTCCTTTCACCTATGAAGGGGCTAAAAAACAGGCCCTAGGCCAACCAGATGCTCCCTTTTAGAAATGTGAACTGAGAGACATGGAAGACAGCTGCAGTTCAATGTGGGCCTAGGCCTTGAGAACAGGCCTGCATGCATGCTGAAGTCACAGGGAACAAAGATGAAGTGTGAGCAGAGGCGGCGTGCTGGGAGAGAGGGAGGGGATGCGCGCCGACTGGCAGACACCACAATGGGCCCCTGAGAGACAAGGCTTGGGCTCCCGTTCCCACTCATCAGGCATCTGGACAGAAAACCCCAGAGCGAAAGAGGCCCCACAGGAACAGCACAGGCCAGGCATGCGTGGGGAGTGGGACAGGCCGAGGAAGGTGCTGAGGATGTGAAGAATGGGGAAGATTTAGCCAAGCAGGAGAGGAGATGGAGGGACTTTCCTGGAGGTGAGAATGTTTACCATGGACCTCAAGGGGACATAGGCCGTGACTGCCATAGCTGCAAATATTACAACTATGGGTAAAATGGTGGAAATATTTTTATGAGACAGAGTCTCAGTCGCCTACACTGCTGGAGTATAGTGGGGGATCTCGGCTCACCGAAACCTCCCCCTCCTGGGTCCAAGCAATTCTCCTTGCATCAGCCTCCTGAATAGCTTGGACTACAGGCACACGCCACCATGCCTGGCCACCTTTTTTTTTTTTTTTTTTTTTTTGTATTTTTAATAGAGATGGGGTTTCACCATGCTGGCCAGGCTGATCTCAAACTCCTGACCTCAGGTGATCCACCTGCCTCAGCCTCCCAAAGTGCTCAGACTATAAGTGTGAGCCACCGCTTCTGGCCAAAATAATGGAAATTTAATAGAGGTCTGAAACAGCAGAACTACATTTGCTTTGAGCAGAGTAAATATATCTGCCTTTCTTCCTTCTTCCCTTCTCCCCTTCCTTCCCTCCTTCCTTTCTTCTCTCCTTCCTTTTTTCCCTCCCTCCTTCCCTCCTTCCTTCCCTTCTCTTCTTCTTTCCCTCCCTTCTTCTCCCCCTCCTTCCTTCCTTCTCTCCTTCCTCTCTCTTACAGATTACACTATCTTATTATCAAGGTATTGCATGTTCTCTGTGGAAAAATTTTCAAGATACAGAAAAGCAAAAAAAGCTCAATAAAATCCCACCACTCAGATAACCACTATTTTTAAATCTTACTGTTAATAATAATCATAATAGATAACATTTGTCAGGCTCTTTCTAGATACAAGACACTGCTCCAAGACTTTTCATGCATTAATTCTCACGACCGTATGAGATGGATATTCTTTTTTACTCTACTTAACAGATGAGGACACTATTGAAGTGGGTGGCAGAACTGTGACTGGAATTCAAGCAGGCTGACTCAAGCGATAATCAGTGTTCAAAATTTTGATGTACATATTTGTGGACTTTAAAAAAAGATCATAAACTGTCGTGGACTTCTTTTCTGTTTCTTTTTACAATATAAGTTTTGAAAAAATGTCAGGTAACCAAGGTACAGCTTATATACTTTATATTGTTCAAATAATGTATCTATGCAACAGAGAGTTAAAAATACAGATGATTTGAAAGAGGAAAACGAAAATCACTTGGAATCCTGCCACCCAAAAGACCGCTGTTTACATTTAGGCCTCTATCCCCAACTCCTGGAATGAATCTAAGATTAGGAACACAGGCGTGGCTCCCGAAGCCAGCAACGACACTCAGGGAGTCTTTCAATGGCCTGGGGAATCACAGGCGCTTTCAGCAGTTAGGTGCACAGTGAAGGATGTGAATTGTGTTTGGAATCAGCCTGTTCATGTTGAATGTTGCACAAGATCTTTATAAACCACCCTGGTTGCAGCAGAAAGAGAGCTGAGCTGGGGAGTCAATAAAGCTGGACTCTCTTCCCCCTTCCAAGAGGCCCGAGGCCAGGGAAGTCATTTCCTATTCGGGCCTCAGTTTTCTCATCTGTATAGTGAGCCGCTACAGTTCTAGCAAGGAGTGACTGGCAGCAGAGCTTCCTTTCTGAGTTATCTGCAGTATTTTGGGCGATTCCTGACACAGTTCCCATCAGCTCTGGCACAAGAAACAAGAGGGCCGGTATTATGAAAGGGCTGGGGTCAGGGAATACCAAAGGCTTAAGGCCTCCCAAACGAGGGTGTGAGCTCTATTTTCCTGGAGGGCTGGGCCAGCCAAGCCGATTAGGGGCCCGGAGCAGCTGTGGGCCGAGGGAGGCCGCTGAGAGTGAGGGGATTGAAATGGCTCTTTCCCACCCTCTCCCCCACCAGCCTGCTCTGTGTAAAAATTCCAAACTCCCAATCAAACCCCCTTCTCTTTTCTCCTTTCATTCACCTGCCCATCTTCCTCTCCTCTTCTCTCCTTTTCTATCCAAACTCATAATTAATCGCTCAAGGCAAAAGTAATGAATGTTAATTGGCCATCTGTAGGAAGACTAATTAAAATCTACCACGCTGGGGTTTCAAACATACCTATAGCAACGGAGTGAATCGGGAATGAGGCGAGGAGGGACTGAGGTAACAGCTGAAAGCTTGCAAAACACCATTGGGCTTAGGTGTGAGGGAACGACGCCAGAGAGGGGCCGAGATGCTGGGGAGAGGGAGAGATGGAGAGGGAGGAAAAAACTTCCTCCATTTGCCACGCCACTGCAGGACCTGGCATTTTGTGGCTGTTCTGTTTTGTGTTCAACAAACATTTACACATTTCCTTCTCACTGGATATGGCCTAAGGGGTGTCTGCAGCTTGTCAACACACAATTGTTGTACCCCAGTCACAGGCCTCAACACACTCATTTATCCAGGGACATCAGCCCCGTGTCAAAATCACACACACATGCTGGTTCAATCTCATGCACAGCTTTGCATGAGTTCCTGCTTGCAAGGTAACAACCTGTCACGTGTGCACACGTGCACACCCGATTGTGAATGGAGAGCAACCCAGAAATACAGCATGTGGTTATATACCACCACTCATAATCACGTACAGGTACACTGTCGATGCATACATGATGGAAACACACAGACCCACTGATACTCAAATACAAATGCTCATATGCGCTCACAGTAGTTTTCAAAGTTACACTCACATTCACACAATAGGCTTATAGGTGTGCATGTACAGCTACATACCCAAAGCCACATTTGCATGCTACACCGTTATCTGGTAAGTTTTACATTGGAATGCTTATACACAGGTACACATACAATTATACCCTTCCATGCGTAAGCAAAGCTGAATGTTGGAGCCCCCATAAGACTAATTCTAGGGTGGCAAACAGTTACACACACACACACACACACACACACACACACACACACACACACTGCTTGGCCCAGGGCAGGCCCATGTGTGATTCATATACATCCATAATGTGCATACAAGGAGACCCAGGTCTCTGGCAAGAATATACTCCAGGTGATGGCTTCCAGGCTTGAACTTCTGATACAATTCTTTGGCTTCATCTTTTCTTTCAGAACACCCTGCTGTGAGCACCATGAGCATCCAAAGCCTGTTAGATTGTCCCATCCAGCCTTCAGGCAGAAAGAACCATGGATCCGAGGACAGTCTGAGAGATGGCCTGGGGTTAAGATGGTCTCGGATGAGGCCAGGACGGAGGTGAGGGTGCCAGCCTGTGGGATGGGTGGCAGGGCCTTTCTATTCATGTCTTGAAGGGGTCAGCTCCGTGGGTCAGGGGAGGATTAAATGGGGTGGGCATGGCATTGTGGGAAGCACAGCGATACAGGGGTGGGGTCCCTTTGGCCAGGGTCCCTCTTTCCTCTGACTTGGAGTAAAAAAGCTGCCCTCCTTACTAGATAGCTTCTGGGGCCTCTTTCTCATTGCTATAAAATTTCTCTACGATGAGCTTAGATTAAAGCAGGAGGAAGTGCAAACACAAAAAAAGAACGTCCTGACATTTGGGGCAGGGAGGGGGGTTGAAAACCTGGAAAGAGTCAGCAGAGAAAAGTTTCTACCCAAGATCCTTACAGGAAAAGCCTCACCATTCTCAAGTCATCCAGGCAATGTGCCAACACGCCGTGTTCCTGGAGACTTGGTGTTTGAGGTTCTTGGACCTTTTGCAGCCCAGAGTCGCTGCCCAAGGCCCATCCTCAGGTCCAGCAAGGACAGTGGCATGGAGAAGAGCGGGTTGGACTAGGACAATGTTCTCGGCACCCCAGAGGGACCTGGGTGTGGGATCCGTTCCTAGAACTGGGAGTAAGACACGAGAAGGACTTCCCAGCTCTCAGAGAACAATCCCTGACTACCAGAAGTGATGGACGTACATCAGGCCAGGTGCTTATCACCGCCTCTCTGGGTTCCTTCCAGGTGACATAGCTACCTGACATCCCAACCTGACAAGTAGGAGACCCAGATGCTCTGAGAAGTGACTGCCCAGGCCACGAGACAAGCCACAGAAGCCCAAGTCCAGTGGGCCATCTCCTAAAGCTGGGTGGCCCAGTGGCCACACCCTGTGTAGGAAGGGAAGGAGCAGACCTGCTTTTCAGGGCTTGAACTTCCTGGAGAGCCTCCGGGCCCTTGGGAATCTCCCTCTGCCGACTAAGGCCTCAGAATTCTCTGGGAGGAACAGGCATGCACACACTCTCACACTTACACACACACAGTCCTATGACAGCTTCTACATTTGGAGCTGACAGATGTGCAAGGTAACAGCTCGGCAACGCCTGTGCAGCTGAGGCCCTGGCGTCGCGAACAGGATTATTTCCAGCAAAGCTCAGGGCGGCTGCGTGAGCGCACGCCCGGGTGTGTGTGTGTGTGTGTGAGTGTGCGTATGTGAGAGAGAGAAGGAGGGAGGGAGAGAGGGAGTATGAGCGTGTGCGAGTGTGTGAGGGTGTGTGGCTTCTCCCGCCATCTCTCTCCCTCCATCTAAATCTGTCTTACTATATTTTCGAATCTTTCTGCCTCTCTGTTTCCCCCTGTGTTTCTGCCCCTCTCTCCATCTTCCTCTCTCACTGTCCGGCTTGCCCTGTCTCTGTCTTTGATTCTCATGGTGTCTGCTTTTGTTTCTCTGCTTGGATGCTCCAGAGCAGAGAGGGGACTTACCTCCTTTCTACTCCTCACTTTGCCCCTGGTCCCTTTCTTGTGTCACCTGAGCAGGCCAGAAGGAGGGACTCAGAAAAAGCCCATTTTGTTCCAGAAAATGATGCAGCTGTCTCTGTCCTCTGCACAGGGCTCCTGTCCTGCCCGGGGGGTTAGATAGGGGATCTGGGGCTGTCCTGGGGCGGTCCTGTGGATAAGAGACCGCTAGACAGCTTTCAGATTAGTTAGCTGAGGAACCATGCTGAGCCACTGAGGTCAGCAGGGGGAGAAGCCCCCAAGGGATAGGCATGGCCTTCTCTCTCCCTTCCTCCTTTCCCCCAACTCCTCACTGAAAACAGAAATCCGAGGTCTCCCAGGTCACATGAAGAGCTCTTAGGGCTGAGGATGCACTTAGCATGGATGAAAGGAGAGACAAAGGGTGAGGTAGGGGAGGCTGGCTGGGAAGTAACAATAATTCCCTGGTGGGAGTGGGCTCTACTTCAAAAGTGTGAGACAACATCTGCGCTCTGCGCTGCTCCTTGTCTCCCAGCACAGCAGGTGGGAGACCTCAGGACTGGGGAGTAGGGCAAGGATGGCTGGCTCCAGGCTCAGAGCCCTGCCTTCTATCGGCTCCTGCTGCTGACCCCAGAGGTTCGGAGTGATTCCTCAGCTCACTTCCAGCAAGCTGTCTTGTGCTTTCTGGTCTATTCCCCTTCTCTTTTACACCTCAGATCACTGAGAGATGATGTGAAGGCTGGAGAGGTGCCACCCCACAGAGTCTCCACTGAGGGGACTGGGAGTCATCTTCACCCACGTCCCTGTCACTACACAGGAGCCCAGCGGTGAGGGCACGCATGGGCACTCTTGGGTATGCTCACACAGGGGTGTGCACACCTGCCATGTGAGTCAGAATTATCACGTGCATTCTAGCCTACGCCGCCCTGTTCTGTGGGGAAAGACGAAAATGAAGGAGGCCAGAAGGCAGCATCCCAGGGCCCGGCTCTGTGGGGTGAGGCACGGGGAGATGCTGGGATGGAATAGTCCTGGGCAAGTGACCCTGATGGTTGACAACAGACTCAGCACCAGCTTGGCTATGGGGCACGCGTGTGTATTCATGGGAAGAAGGACAAGAATTGGGGATTGAGGGGAAGCTCTTGACCACACTAATCCCAGCTGGTCACGCTCTTGGACACTGACTTTTGCCTGGAATATTCCCCTCACTCCCCACTGCTCCTCACAAGCCAGCTGCTGGCCCCAGTGCAGGCATATTAAACACAAAACCAAAAACTGCCCAGTGTTCTCACACCAGAGACAAAGAGGAACCTTGTTTGTCTTTAGGCTCATCTATGGCCCTGCTCTTTCCAGCAGCTGGGCCCTGGGCGTGTGCAGGCATGTATTTGTATGTGCACTCACATGTGCTCATGTGTGTGGTGGCCAAGGCCAGGTCATGCAGACGGGGAACACAGATGGTTAGCCCCTGGAGGGTGGCTGCTTATGGCCTGGAAGCCACCACAAAAGCCTCCCTGCCCCAGTGTCGGGGGACTTGGGGATGTTGAGTCCAGGGTTGGGAGCAAGGTCTGGGAAATCCCTGCGGGTAGAGACTGTGAGTCACTGAAGAGGCCTTGGGACCTGGCAGGAAGAGTGATGCTGCCCCTCCCTGATCTCCCCAGTTCACTGGTGCCCGCCTCCCGGCCCCCCTCCCCTTCCAGTATAGAATCCTGGGCTGCAGGGAGAGACAGGCCAAGGGAGCACTTCCAAAGCTCCTATGTCTGGGCTCAGAGAAGACAAATGTCAGGCATGGGAGGGCCTCGCCACCTCGTGGGGACATGCGGTACTCCTCGCTAAGCTCCTGGGCAATCAGCCTAGAGGGGAGGGAGGGAGTCAACCCCAGTGGATTATCCACAGAGTAGGACTGGCACTGACCACACTCACACTCCCACTGGAGCAAGGGGCCGAGGGAGGAAACCTACCCACCACCCACCATGGCACAAAAGGAAGCCCAGACCGCCATAATCCACCACCTGACCACACAAGAAACGCCTCAGAGGAAGGTGTCCAGGAAGGAATCTTGGAGTTCACTGCTCTAAGGAAACTGAAGCCCAGAGAGACAGCAGAGCTCTGCCCAACACCCCACGGCAGCTCTGTCACAGACAGTGTAGTGGGACTGAAGGTTCCTGACTCCAAAACTCATGCATTTTCCTGTAAGCCCAAGACAAGGTGTCCAGACCAGACTCCACCCTCACCTCCAGGAGGCTGAATAGGGGCAGTACTGTGAGAGTTTTTGCCTCAAGTCAGCCAGGGGAGGATGTCTGGGCTGACTAGAGGAGAGGAGGCTGCCAGCCGGGCTCCAGGATGATCTGGATCTTGATATTGAAAGGCAATAAACACTAGCATCTACGGGGCACTTATCGACCGGAATGCTAGCACTGTGTTGAGCATTTACAAACATTAGATCACTCAATGTTCAAAACAACCCTTTAGGGTAGGTGCCATTAGAATCCACATTTTTCAGATGAGGAAACTGAGGCACAGAGAAGAAACTTGCCCTGGGTTACCAGCTGGTAAGTGGCAGAGCAGGAACCTGAGCCCAACGATTTTGACTTCAGTGGGGGCGTGAGGGCAAGGGCTATGCTGGACCAGTAAAGAGTTCGCTCATTCCCTTCTAGGGGACCAGGCAGGGTGTTGCCAACTTCAGCCGCTGGCCTGCCTTTCAGCGAGAGGAGCTGCCCGGGGTTCTCTGGGAGGCGCAGCCTCCTTGCGCCCTCTGCTGAGCACAACGAGGAGTTCCCTTCTGCACACTCAAGAGGCAGGCTGAGTCCTGTAGTCAGCGGGCAGGGGACCACGTTCCCTCCTCCCAAATATGGCTGGGGCCAGGGTGCTGGCTGCAGACCACCGCGGCTGTGACGCTCCCAGCCCAGCCTACGTTCACCAACCTGCACAAGGGTTGGCTTGGTTGCAGCCCTGATTTCAGAGCTTCCCTCTCTTGGAATCTTGCCCATCTCCTCCAAAGGCATGCTGGTCCCAAGCCCACCCCACCGAGGACCTGGACCATGGGCCAGATGGACAATGCCAAGAGGGCCAACAGCAGCTGGCATCCATTCACAGCATTGCCATGTGGACAGGGGGAGAAATTGGGAATCCACAGAAAGTCAGGGAGAGGACCCAGGCTCCAGGAACAAGCGGAGAGCAGGCTGTAAGTTGGGTGCTGAAAGATGGGTATTCTGAACAGCCCAGGGTGAGAAAAGGGCTGTCAAGGCTGGGGTCAGTGAGGGCAACAGCACAAAAAAGCAGGCATCTGGGCATGCTGACTGTGGGCAACTTTGGACCTGGGCTTGCCATTGAGTGGGGCTCAATGATTGGAGGCAGATGGCCCCAGGACAGCTCCCAAGGAAATAAAGACAACACCTCACATTTGGGTTAACTGCCTCGGGAATGACTTTGGGCCCAGTGAACCAGGCAGTTAGTCACAGGCCCTGTATCAGATGAGAAACCAAGCATGAAGAAAGAACCAAGCAATCTGTATTTTATTTGTATCAGCCTTTGCGGTGTATACAGATACCCAGGAGTCCCTTCTCCCAGCCTGGTGAAGGGATGGTGGAGGAGACATCAGTGAGGACAGAGTTCAGCAAAAGGCCCTGCTGCCCTCAGCAAGGGGCATCTGTGTGGGCTGGAACTTGTACTGTCTGCACACTTCCTCCCCTCCAGGCCATCGAATCTACATGGGTCCTCCTATTCGACACCACATCACTCTTTCGTCTCCCCATGAGCAGGAGACACAACTTCTTCTCCAGCTTCTTTTCCTGCTCTTCCCACCCCTTAAGTTCTATTCCTGGGGACAGAGATGCCAATACTCATAACCTCTCTCCTAAGCCTCCTCATAATCCAGGGTGCACAGCACACCTAGCTGACAACTGGTTAAGGCCAACGACCGGCGCTCACAGCTGGCTGTGCCTGAGGGCAGGGCAGTAGGCATGAGTGCTTATATATCTAAGGCAGGACTGCCCTATGACAGTGTGTGGGGAGCCACAGGGCTCTGGGGTATGTCTGAGTGGGGACAAAAAGGTTCAGGAAGCCAAAGGCATGGGCTTATATGTCATAGAAGTCCATGTGGGCTCCAGACTTGAACTCGTCCTTTTGCAGCAAGCTCAGCAGTTTCTGGCCTGACACCCTGCAATCCACCAGCTCTCCCTTTGCCTTCAGCTCCTGCAGTCCTTTTCGCATGTCTGGGTACATGGAGGTCTCCCGGGCCAACTGCTGCATGTCTGTGTCCAAAGGACCTAGAGGATGAAAAGCAGATGATGAGGGAACATGCCGAGGCAGGGACAGAAGGTTTCAGGTCCCCGTTGTATGTTGGGGCTGAGTCAGGTCTGGCCTGAGGAAACACGTCATCTTGGCTGAAATGTGTGGTCAGGGTTGCCAAAGGCTCCGATTTGTCACTATTGAGTTCTGGGCTGAAATTCAAAAGCTCATGAACACGGACTCTCCAGACTACTGTGTCTAAACCCAAGCTCCTCATCTGTTCAACCAGCACTACCTCCTAACATCCCCATTTCTATTAGTCAAGTATTCTTTTTCCTCCATCACCTCCTCCTTCCACACTCCATCGCCCACATAGCCAACCAGGCACCAGGTAGGACCCTTCAGCATGTACACACCCCAACCATCAGGCCCTTTTTACAATCTTGCTTCTTCTCTCCCTGCCTCAGCTCCTTCTGTAGCCCCCTACTAAACTCATCCTACTCAAACATCACTGGGGGCCAGGCACAGTGGCTCAGGCCTGTAATCCTAGCACTTTAAGAGGCTGAGACGGGATGAACACTTGAGGTCAGGAGTTTGAGACCAGCCTGGCCAACATGGTGAAACCCTGTCTCTACTAAAAATACAAAAATTAGCCAGGCATGGTGGCACATGCCTGTAGTCCCAGCTACTCCGGAGGCTGAGGCACGAGAATCGCCTGAGCCTGGGAGGTGGAGGTTGCTGTGAGCCGAGATCACACTACTGGACTCCAGCCTGGTGACAGAGCAAGACTGTCTCAAAAAAACAAACAAACAAAAACATCACTGGGATCACACCAATCCTCTGCTTAAAACCCCTCAACAGCTTCGCAACAGCCTGGCCTAGTTCTCAAGGCACCCCTGTCTGCTCTCCTCTGGGCACACCACCTACCCTACAGGGAAACAGGATGATCTGCCACTCCCACAATGAACCTTCACACCTTCATTTCCTTTTATCAGGAATGCCTTCCACCTGCTAACAACCAAGGTCAATGTCCAGTTCAGCTACCTCCAATAAAGCCATGCCTAGTCTTCCCCCGCTGAAGGGAATTGTTCCCTTCTTGAACTGTTGTAAACATGTTTTGTTCTTCACATAGGAATCACCCATGCACCCCAGAATTTGCAGTTAATGGTCCTCAGGGGCAGAAAATCAGAGAATTCCAGGGTTGGAAGAAGAATCTTTCTCTTGGTCCTTGACTGTTTTCCAATGACCTGTGCATCCCTGCCGAGAGGGGACTTGCTGCCTTTCCAAACAGCCCATCCTATCTCTGAGCACCTGTTACAACATTCTTCCGAGACCAAAATGAAAACCTTGGTTCAGGCCCTGGGGACCTCCTGACAAATCTCAGCTCCCTCATAATGCCCAGGGCAGCCTCCTGAGACCAAATGCAGCCATGTGGACTCTGCTCCTGGCTGTAGCTTACATTTGGTCACCACTGTTTGTGCGAGTCCTTGGGCTGGGCTCAGAGTGAATGATGAGTTGAATGTCAGTTGTAACAATAACTGCACATGTGTGTTGGGGGCGGGGGTGGTGGGGGTGGTAGGGGCTGGGGTACTGGAGAACATGAGGAAGAACTTGGAAGCAAGGTGGGATCCGGCCCTGCCACATCTGTGCTTTGTGCAGGCCATTCTACCTGTCTGCCCTGAGATCCTGGTCCTGTTCCCCAGAGGCACAGACTACTGGATCTCTGTCCAAGTTGCTCAGGCATTTCAGGGCTGCTCTGTTACCACCTTCTGATCGCAGCAACCTCAAGCCTAGAAGAGAATCCTTACTATTAAGAAAGGGGTGCTGTGGCATCAGAAACCAGAGCCAATATCACAAAATTCCCTGTCCTTTGGTGTTCATGAGAACAAGGGCTCTACCGTATTTATCCCAGTATCCCCCATAGTGTTCCAGCACAGTTCAGCTGGGGATAGTCAGCGCTCAACAATGTCTGTCCACTCTCCACGCAGCTAGCATGTTCTGCACCCTGCCTTAGTGCAGTGCTTTGCTAGGTGCTATGCATAGTGCAAAGGCTTTCCTGTCAAGGGAGGGAAGGAGGCAAGCAAACATAGGCAGACAATAGGGTGTGGTCAGTCCTATTTAACAATGAGGCAACATGTCACAGGTCAGGGTCCTTTTCACATACAGTATCTCATTCAGTCTTCCAAAGTGCCCTGTGAGGCAGGAAGCATCTTCCCCATTTCACATGAGGAAGGCCTGAAACTCGAAACCCAGTCTTCTCCCAAACTCCATCTAATACCTTAGACTTTCCTGCCTCAAACTTCCAGTCCAGCCAACTCCTCACTCTGCCAGTATCCCAGCCCCTGCCAGCTCTTACTTCCTTGGGTCCATATTTCCCCTAAGGGGTGATGGGTCATGATTCAGGGACAAAATACTCTGTGGGTTGTTTCCTGGAGGGAGCGGACTAGGCTGCTTGCCCAGCCCCCAGAGGGGGACCAGTGAGTCCTGGAGGACAGGGATGGCAGGACTTCCCACCTACCTGGGGCATAGTTTAGCACCCTCACGTTAGGTTCCTCCATCGCTAGGACCTGGAACAGCATATCACGAGCAGCCTTTCCTGCACAGTACAGCGCCCAGCCTTTGAAGGGCTGCAGGGCACAGAGGGACGAGATGTTAACCACGGTTCTGTTGAGGCCAGGACTGGCTGGGAAGGCCTTCAAGATGCTGGAAGTCAGGCAGAGCATGGAGGTCAAGTTCAGCGCCCAGTAGTTGTTCACTTGAGTGGAGTCACTCAGGTCTGTGAAGCCTTTGGACACATCCCCAAGAGAGCCTGAAAAACCAGAGCTTAGGAGTAACTCAGTGCAGGTAGGGCTTTCTTCTCCCCCAGCCCTCTCCAAGTTCCTCCAGATATCCTCTTCCCATGCAGACCTAGAGAAAGAAGCTGCCTAGCGCTTCTGAAGAGGCTTCTCTCTACCCCAGATCTGCGGAGAGACACACCTGGGGAACCCAGCCATCCCAAGCTGCAGAATGAGAAGGCACCTGCCTTGCCGTGGGGCCGAGGGAGAGTTCTAGGAGTCCTTTGGAAAAGCAGGGAGTTTACTAGTTTGGAGACTCCAAGCCCTGACTCAGGCTTCCACCAGAGGGCGCAGAGCTAGGGGATCGGGAAAGTTCCACAGGCGCTTTGGAAAACCCGACTGGCCAATTTTCCAGGAAGTGGAGCAGGCTGTTGCCCCGACGGCATCGAGTCTCCCTGTACACCTCGCCTCCATTTGCTACTCAAACTGGAACAACAAGGGCTTTAGATTTCCAAGCGTCCTATCCGACTCCCTAGGAGTCGTTCTTAAATTCGCCAGCGGTGGAGGAAGTGGACACTCACATGGGAGTCCGCTCCAGTCCCGGTGTCTTACCCGCGTTGTTGATGAGCAGCAGTCGCTGCAGCCCCTCTGGCCTGGGGAGCTCGCGCAGGGCGCTGAGCAGCTGCTGCAAGCCAGCCTCGGCGCCCAGGTCGGCGGGCACCCGCACCACGCGCAGGCCAGACCGCTCGGCGCCCAGCTCGGCCTCCAGCTGCCGCAGTGCCTCGTCGTTGCGGGCGTTAAGGACCAGCACGGAGCCGCGCGACAGCAGCGAGGCCAGGAGCGGGGCCAGCGCCCGGCCGAAGCCGCGGGAGGCTCCGGTCAGCACGCACACAGCAAGCCCCAGGCCGCCCTCCATGCTACCGTCCTCCGCCGGCGGCGCTGGGCCCCGAGACCAGGTGGGAGGCGGGGCGGCCGTGGAGGGGGTGGGACCGCGACGGGTGTGGGCGGGGCCGCCCTGCCGGGGAGGGGCCGGAACCTTAGGCTTCGGGCCGCGAGGGTCCAGGGGCGTTGGTTCCCCCTGGATGTGGTTCCCTTGGCTGCTGGTAGCGGAAGTCAAGCTGTGGGCAGGAGCCCAGTACGTGACAAGGGACTAAACAGAAAGGGCCAGCAGGCGCAGCCCACACGGAAAGCCCTAGCCGGGTTCCCAGCGCTGCCTTGCTCTTCGCCCACACGCTCCCCGGCTGGGACGCATGCTCGGAATTTCCTCCCGGTTCCAGCCCTAACTTCTTTGCACAACTGACCTCTTCCAGGGCAGGCCCTGAACTCGGTGCTGGGAGTCCCCCTGGTCGTGGCCAGTGAAAGCCCTGAATGAGCTCATGCCCATTTAGGGATTGAGGTCTCTGCTGGGCTTGGGAGCTCACCGCTGTCTGGATGACAGGAGCTTCCTCTGGGAGAACCACAGTGGCTCCAAGTGATAATAAAACCTTTCCCTTTTACTAGACTCATCAGCTCCTTGCTGTCACCAGTACCCTCTGCCTCTTTGAGATTTCTGATTTCTGTTCCTAAAAGTGTATTCCTCAGGATTCTGCCCCTGCTCATGCTACAGTCTCCCTGGTAGCGGTTCAGTCCATTCTCAGCTTCGAGTTTATGCAGTCATCTGTCTGTACCTCCAGGTAGGTGCTTCAGAAAATTCACATTTTTTTTCTAGGAGAGAGGGAACGTGAGACAAGTTGGCATGCAGCTACATGTATTAAAAATGAATCTCTTCATGGTTTCCTTCTTTATGGCCGAATGGTATTCCATTATGTATGTACATATGTTCAAATACTGTGTATCCGTTTTTTAAAAATGAATCTCTTTAGAGTTTAGCAAGGGCAGTAAGTAACCTCTGATAACAGCTCAATTCCCCACACAGCTGATCCCTCCCCTGGGGCTAAAGAGCAAAGTTACCTTCCCACTATAATTGCCAATTCCAAGAAAGAAACAACTTGGAAGAAGCCTTTTTTTTGTTGTTTTGCTCTGTGGCCCAAACTGGAGTGCAGTGGTGCAATTACAGTTTACTGCAGCCTTGAGCTCTTGCGCTCGAGCAATCAATCCTTCCACCTCAGGCTCCTGAGTAGCTAGGACTACAGGTGCACCACCATGCTTGGCTAATGGTTTTTAAGCTTTTGATATTTTAACGCTGATAGGACCCTGTGTGCATGTATACCATTTGAAGTTGCCCTGCTTTTCACTTAGCTATTCACACTGAAAGATAAAGATCTTATTGGCCCAACAGCCTACTCTTTAAAGAATTTTAATAGTTTCTTCCTGCTCTCCAGGCCTTAGAAGACAGGTTGATGAAAGCACGATCCCATCCATCCATTCATGTGACATTTATTAAATTTCTACCATCTGTCAGACTTTGAAGAAAAGGAGGAAACAATGAAGGGATGGCAAAGCATCAGACTTAGCTTCTTCTGAACCTAGCTGCTTCTAGGAGGAACCACTTAGGAACAGCCCCTAAGGAGAGTGTGGTTTTCCTAGACTAGGAGAGGGTCTGGAAAATTCTTTTCTGAGGAAGACGATTATCTTCTTTAGCTAATTTTTGTATTTTTTGTAAAGATGGATCTTGCTATGTTGCCCAGTCTGGCCTTGACATCCTGATTTAAAGCAGTTTTACTATCTTGGCCTCCCAAAGTGCAGAGATTATAGGTGTAAGCCACTGCACCTGGCCAACAGTAACTTTTTTTTAAAAAAAGGTACAAATGCCTGAAAGGTAAGAAATATGTAAAAATTGTGTTAAAAGCATAAGCCTGATAAAGGACATGGTAGGGGAATGGGTGAAATTTGAATATGGTCTGTAGGTTAGTTACTGGCATTGAATCATTTCCTGATTTTGACAAATTAACTATTGTTATATCAGAGAATGTTCTTGTTTTTGGAAATACACAGAAGTATTTAGTAAAGGGGCATCATATCTGCAACTTACTTTCAAATGTTTCTGAAAAAAATAGAATGAGTAAGGCAATGGTAAAATATTAACATTTAGGAAATCTGCATTAAATATATTCAGGAATTCTTTATACTATTCTTGAAACTTTGTAAAAGTCTGAAATTATTTCTAACAAAGTTATTACGATGAGCCATACTGGCTCATGCCTATAATCCCAGCACTTTGGGAGGCTGAGGGAGGAGGATCACCTGAAGTTAGGAGTTTGAGACCAGCCTGGCCAACATGGTGAAAGCCATCTCTATTAAAAATATAAAAATTAGCTGAGTGTGGTGGTGCATGCCTATAGTCCCAGCTACTCAGGAGGCTGAGGCAGGAGAATCGCTTAAAGCCAGGAGGCAGAAGTTGCAGTGAGCTGATATCACACTACTGTACTCTAGCCTGGGTGACAGAGCAAAACACCATCTAAAAAAAAAAAAAAAAAAAAAAAAAAAAGAACTGTACTTACAAGTCAAAATCAAAAATAAAATTTAAAAAAAAGTGAGCAAAGGATGTGAATAGACATTTATCCAAAGAAATTACACAAATGGCCAATAAGTGCATAGAAAGATGTTCAACATAATTTGCCGTCAGGAAACTACAAATTAAAATTATAATGAGATACCACTTCACATCCATTAAGATGGCTAAAATAAAACAGATGGATAACAAATATTGGCAGGTGATATGATTTGGCTGTATCCCCATCCAAATCTCATCTTGAATTACAGTTTCCACAATTCCCATGTGTCATGGGAGGGACCCAGTAGGAGGTTAATTGTATCATGGAGGCAGGTCTTTCACATGCTGTTATTGTGATAGTAAGTCTTATGAGATTTGATGGTTTTATAAATGAGAGTTCCCCTGCACAAGCTCTCTCTTGCCTGCCACCATGTAAGATGTGCGTTTCACCTTTCATCTTCCACTATGAGTATGAGGCCTCCCCAGACATGGAACTGTGAATCCATGATCTTTATAAGTTACCCAGTCTTGGGTATGTCTTTATCAGCAGTGGAGAAATGGACTAATACAGTAAATTTGTACTGAGTGGGGTGCTTCTGTAAAGATACCTGAAAATGTGGAAGTAACTTTGGAACTGGGTAACAGGCAGAGATTGGAACAGTTTGGAGGGCTCAGAAGATAAGAAATTTTGGGAAAGTTTGGAACTTCCTAGAGACTTGTTGAATAGCTTTGACCAAAATGTTGATAGTGATATGGACAATAAGGTCAAGGCAGAGGTGGTCTCAGATGGAGATAAGAAACTTTGGAACTGGAGTAAAGGTCACTCTTGCTATGCAAAGAGACTGGCAGCATTTTGCCCCTGCCCTAGAGATCCGTGGAACTTCAAACTTGAGGGAGATGATTTAGGGTATCCGGCAGAAGAAACCTCGAAGCAGTGAAGGATTAGAGAGGAAGAAATACGTAAAAATTTGGAAAATTTGCAGCCTGATGATGCAATAGAAAAGAAAACTTCATTTTCTAGGGAGAAATTCAAGCTCACTGCAGAAATTTGCATAAGTAACAAGGAGCCAAATAAATAACAGGAAGCCAAGACAATGAGGAAGGTGTCTCCAGGGCATGTCAGAGACCTTCACAGCAGTCCCTCCCATCACAGGCCCAGAGACCTAGAAGGAAAAAAATTGTTTCAAGGACTGGGCCTAGAACCCTTTGCTGTGTGCAGCCTAGGAACTTGATGCCTGGTGTCCCAGCTGCTCCAGCCATGGCCGAAAGAGGCCAAGGCACAGCTCATGCTATGGCTTCAGAGGGTGAAAGCCCTAAGTCTTGGCAGCTTCCACATGGTGTTGAGCTTGCTGATGCGGAGAAGTTAAGAATTGAGGTTTGGGAACCTCCACCATTTCAGAAGATGTATGGAAATACCTGGATGTCCAGGCAGAAGTTTGCTGCAGGGCAGGGCCCTCATGGAGAATGTTTGCTAGATCAGTACATAAAGAAAATGTGGGTTTGAAGACCAGACACAGAGTCCCCACTGGGGCACTACCTTGTGTAGCTGTGAGAAAAGTGTCATGATCCTCCAGACATCGGAATGGTAGATCCACCAACAGCTTGCACCATAAGCCTGAAAAAGCCACAGACACTCAATGCCAGCCCATGAAAGCAGCCAGGAGGGAGGCTGTACCCTGCAAAGCCACAGGGGTGGGGCTGCCCAAGGCCATGGGAGCCCACCTCTTGCATCAGCATGACCTGGATGTGAGACCTGAATTCAAAGGAAATAATTTTGGAACTTTAAGGTTTAATGATTGCCCTATTGGATTTTGGACTTGCAAGGAGCCTGTAGCCCCTTTGTTTTGGCCAATTTCTCCCATTTTGAATAGCTATATTTACCCAATGCTTGTATCCCCATTTTATCTAGGAAGTAACTAACTTGCTTTTCATTTTACAGGCTCAGAGGCAGAAGGGACTTGCCTTGTCTCAGATGAGACTTTGGACTGTGGACTTTTGAATTAATACTGTAATGAGTTAAGACTTTGGGTGACTTTTAGGAAGGCATGACTGGTTTTGAAATGTGAGAACATGAGATTTGGAGGGGCCAGGGGTGAAATGATATGGTTTGGCTGTGTCCCCACCCATATCTAATCTTGAATTCTATCTCCCACAATTCCCACATGTTGTGGGAGGGACCCTGTGGAAGGTAATTGAATTATGGGGGCAGTCTTTTCTGTGCTTTTCTTATGGTAGTGAATAAGTCTCACAAGATCTGATGGCTTTATAAATGGGAGTTCCCCTTCGCAAGTTCTCTTGCCTGCCACCAAGTTAAGACATGTCTTTTGGCCAGGCATGGTGGCTCATGCCTGTAATCCCAGCACTTTGGGAGGCCAAGGCATGCAGATCATTTGAGGTCAGGAGTTTGAGACCAGCCTGGCCAACATGGTGAAACCCTCTCTCTACTAAAAATACAAAAATTAGCTGGGCCTGGTGGTGCATGCCTGTAATCCCAGCTACTTGGGAGGCTGAGGCCAGAGAATTGCTTGAACCCAGGAGGTGGGGGTTGCAGTGAGCCAAGATGGTGCCACTGCACTCCAGCTTGGGTGACAGAGTAAGACTCCATCTCAAAAACAAACAAACAAACAAAAAATGGCATGCCTTTTGCCTCCTAAGTAGCTGGGATTACATGGGATTACAGGTGTGTGCCACCGTGCCCAGCTAATTTTTGTGTTTTTCATAGAGAAAGGGTTTCACCCTGTTGGCCAGGCTGGTCTCAAACTCCTGACCTCAAGTGATCTGCTGCCTTGGCCCCCTAAAGTGCTGGCATTACAGGCATGAGCCACAGCACCCGGCCTGGAGGCCAGAATTCTGAAATCAAACACACCTCCAAGGTTTCTAGGGGGAGAATTCTTCCTTGCCTCTTCCAGCTCCTGGTGGCTCCAGGCATTGCTGCCAGCAATCCTCAATGTTCCTCGATTTATAGCTGTGTAACTCCAAACTTTACCTTTAACTTTACATGGCCTTCTTCTCTGTATGTCACTTGTCATTGAATTTAGGACCTGTCCTGAATCCAGGATTATCTCATCTCAAGAAACTAAATTTAATTATAGTTACAAATTAGGTCATATTTTTTCCAAATATGATCATATTCACAGGTTTCAAGTAGACATATCTTTTGAGGTCGGGGAGCAGGGACTTACAACTCAACCCATTAGGAGATATGATATTGAAGCAGGGCTTTCTCATTAAGAAATTTGCTGGACAATTGAGCCCCAAATCTTGGCTTTTAGCCAAATTTGAAAAACTGATTTTTGAGAGATACACACAAAAGAAGCACCAAACACATTTCAGTGGATATATTTATGAAAACACTGTTTCTGTCCTCCTAGTCATCACCTTTATGACATGGAAGTTACTGGAGTGAGTGAGTAATGCTTTTTGAAAAGGATGGGAACAATAAGATTTCATGTAGCTCATGGGCTTTCTGGGCAAATTTGAGTAAAGGGAAAAGGACTGGGAAGCAGAAGCACACAGAGAACAAAGATGTGTTTGATAAGAAAGATGGCAATGAAGTGATCCTGGGCTGGGTTAGGAAAGCAGGCTTGCGTCCCTGCAGTGGCACTCCAGCTTCAGGAGGTCAATGCTGGACAGCTCCCGCATTAGCTTGAGAGAAAGGAAAAGACAGCCACGGTCCCTCTGCCTTCCTGTTCGCCAAGACCAAGCATGTCATCCCCCTACCTCTAACCCTGCCCCGAAGTAATCTTTTCTTTATTGCTTCCTTTTTTCTGGGATTTCTCAAGAATGTATCACCTGGTGACAGCAACTTTATGCATAGTCTTTAGTTACATTCATTCATTCATTTATGCATTCATTCAATAGCTATTTATTCTATTTACTGGGTGCCTACCAAGTACCAGACTTTGCAGACACCACACTCATGCCACATATAGGTACTAGAGATACATCAGTTTACAAAATAGGTAAAAATTCCTGTCTTCCTCAGGCTTACATTTTTGGAGAGAGAAACAGGCAATAAATAAATAAATAAATAAAACCTACGGTATGTTGGATGGAGCTTTGGTTTGAATATGTCCTCCAAGTTTCATGTGTTGGAAAAATTTTTTTGAGACAGGGTCTCACTCTGTTGCCCAAGCTGGAGTGCAGTGTCATGATCTATGTGCACTGCAACCTCCACTTCCCAGGCTAAAGAGCTTCTTCCACCTCAGCCTCCTAAGTATCTGGGACTACAGGTGCATGCCACCATGCTCAGCTAATTTTTAAATTTTTTGTAGAGATGAGGTCTCACTATATTGCCCAGTCTGATCTCAAACTCCTGGACTCAAGCAATCCTCCCAACTGGGTCTCTCAAAGTGCTGGGATTATAGGTGTGAGCCATGGCGCCCAGACGTGTGTTGGAAACTTAATCCTTAATGCAACATGTTGGGAGGTGGAGCATAATAGGTGATTAGGCCAGCAGGCTCTGCCCTTGTGAATGGATTAATGCCATTGTCACATGAGTGAGTTATTATTGCAGGAGTGGGCTTGTTATAAAAGTGAGTTTGGGCTGGGCACGGTGGCTCATGACTGTAATCCCAGCACTTTGAGAAGCCAAAGCAGGTGGATTGCCTGAGCTCAGGAGTTTGAGACCTGCCTGGGAAACATGGTGAAACCCCATCTCTACTAAAAATTTTAAAAATTAGCTGGGCGTGGTAGTGCATGCCTGTAGTCCCAGCTACTCTGGTGGCTGAGGCATGATAAGTGCTTGAATTTGGGAAAGCAGGCATTGCAGTGAACTGACATTGCACCACTGCATTCCAGTCTGGGTGACAGAGTGAGATTCTATCTTAAAAAAAAAAAAAAGAGTTTGGCTCTCTTGCTCTCTCATTCTCACACATACTCTCTTGCCCTTCTGCCTCTGCCATGGATTGGTGCAGCACAAAGGCCATTACCAGAGTCTTGTGCCATGCTCTTGGACTTCTCAGCCTCCATATTTATGAGCCTAATAAACTTCTATTGTTTATGAATTACCCATCTCAGGTATTCTGTTGTAGCAGCATAAAACAGACTAATATACATGATGATAAGTTTCAAAGGAAAATAAAACAAGGATGGTAATTATGGAGTACTGAGGTAGAGAGTGCTTGCAATTTAATACTGGGTGATCAGAGAATGCCACATTGAAAGCATAGTATTTGAGAAGAGAGCAGTAGGAGGTGAGAGAGTGACCCATGCAGCTATCCAGAGGAAGACTATTTTAGGCAGAAAATAGCAAGCACAGAGGCTCCTAAGTGGGAGGGTGCCTGGGTGGTCTGAAGAACAGGAAAAAGGCAGGGTTGCTTTAGTAGTGTTAGCAAGGCAGAGAATTTAGAGAGATCAGATAAGTCATGGAATGCCAGATCTGTACAGGCCTTACAGGTGGTTGTAAGACTTTTCCTTTTATTAGCAGAGAGATGGGAAAGCACTGGAGGGATCTGAGCTTAAGGGACCAGGTTAGATTCATTCCTGCTTCAGTTTTGAGAATAAACTGTAGACTCTAGGGAGGAGCAGTGAGACTATCTAGGAAGATGTTTCTGTATTACAGATGAGAAGATTCTGGAGATGTGATTCATTTGGGGATATATTTTGAAGAAGAAGGCAAAAGGATTTGCTGCTGAAGACATGGAGATGGAGCATACAAAAAAGAGGATAATCGATGATGACCCTATGGTTTGGGGCCTTTGCAACTGGAAGGATAAAAATTGCCATTTTCTGAGGTGGGGAAGACTGCAGAAGGAGCAGGATTCTTTGGAGGAGCTCAAAGTTCAGTTTTGGGGCCAAGTGCAGTGGCTCACTCCTGTAATCCCAGCACTTCGGGAGGCCAAGGAAGGCAGATTGCTTGAGGCCAGGAGTTCAAGACCAGCCTGGCCAACATGGTGCAACCCCATCTCTACCAAAAAAAAAAAAAAAATTAGCCGGGTCTGATAGTGTGTGCCTAAAGTCCCAGCTACTTGGGAGGCTTAGCCAGGAGAAGCACTTAAACCCAGGAGGTGGAAGTTGCAGTGACCCAAGAATGCACCATCGAACTCCAGCCTGGGCAACAGAGCAAAACTCCATCTAAATAAATAAATAAATAAATAAAAATAAATAAAGTTTAGTTTTGGACATGTTAAGTTGAGATGCCCACTGGATATCAAAGAGGAGATGTCAGTAGACATATATATAAGTTTGGAGTGAAAAGGAGAGGTCTAGACTGTTGATACAGATTTGAAAGTCTTCACCAGATAGATAGTTTTTAAAGCCTCAAGATAGGATGAGATCACTTAGGGAGTGAGTATAGATGAAGAACAGAAGTTGTGGAGATAAGGAGGAATCCAGAAAAAGAGACAGATATAGGGCTACCAAATGAAATAAAGGACATCTAGTTAAATTTTAAACAAATAATTTTTGGTACATAATTATCTGATGCAATATTTGGCATATACTTATACAAAAAGTTATTTGTTACTTATCTGAAATTCAGGCTTAACTGTATTTTTGTTTGTTAAATCTCGCATTCCTAGCCTGAGAACCACTGGCCATGGAGGCAGGAGGAAAGTCATGAAAGTATGATGTCTTGGAAGTATAATACAATTTTAAAAGTACTTCAAGAAGAAATGTGTTATCAAAATTTCACAAACTCCTGGTAAGTCAAGTAAATAGAGAATTGATTTAGTAACATGGAAGTCATTGGTGACCTTCATATGAGATGTTTCTGTGAAATGGTGGGTGCAAAAGTTTGGTTGAAGTAGGTTCAAGAGAGAATAGAGGCAAGGAACAGAAAAATGCCAAGGGCAGGATGTGTCATTTACATGAAACCTACTCACTATCCATTTTTCTGTTACTGTTGAATCTTGGTCACAGATCTATAGCTGAAGCACAGAATACTGTTGGTAGCCCCAAGGATCATTCCACGTTTCCCTGTTTACAGCAGGTTTTCTCCCATATGGACCTGCTTGTTTGCAGGACACATTGTCCTCCTGTCACTGCCCAATTCTAATTTATGGAGCCTCTGTCCCTGCTTACAGTACTGTCTGCGGGGACCTTACTCCCAAGATTAGAAGATGCCAGTGTCAGCTTCCCTCAAAATTATATGTTACCATCAATATAATGTGTTTAGCAATACTAATAAGACAAATGAGGTGTGTCATTAAGAATTACAGCTGACATCTGCATATTCATTGCAAATACAAGTAAGCATGCTAGATGCAACTTGAAGTGAAAATAGCATTCATTATATACTTTTTATGTGTTGACATTTTATTACACTTTAAAGTATTATTGCAAGAGTGAAATTATGAGGTAATTAATGATGACTATAAAAACTGTTAAATTTAAATATAAAAAATTTGTTAAGAGACTTTAAGCATGGTGACTCATGCCTGGAATCCTAGTACTTTGGGAGGCTGAGGTAGGAGGATTGCCTGAGTCTAGGGGCTTGAGATCAGCCTGGGCAACATAGGGAGACCTCATCTCTATGAAATAAAAAAATTTAAAAAATTAGCTGGGTGTGGTGGCACATGCCTGTGGTCCCAGCTACTTGGGAGGCTGATGAAGGAGGATTACTTGAGCCCAGGAGGGCTCAAGCTGTGATTACACCACTGTATTCCTGCCGGGGTGACCCAGCGAGACCCTCTCTCTCTCGATCTCTCTCTCAAAAAAAGAGATTTTAAGTAATTAGGGGGAATAGACTGAACTAATACAAACCTTAGAAAAGTACATGAGATAATTTAGGAATAAATTTTTATTTCTTTTGATTCAATAAGCATTTAAATTATAAATAATGCAGGCAAAAAATTAAAATTACAACTGCTATAAACAGAAAACTTTGTGAGGTCATTAGTATAAAATAAATATTCTGAAATCAATAGTTTCACAGCTCATTAGAAGACAAAATAAAAGACTATATATAATAGGACAAAAAAGAGAGAATAGTAGGTATAAGTTTTAGCAAAACTGTGCAAATCTACATAAGGAAAACTAAAACTTTGCCAAAGAACAAAAAAGTAGATAAGAATAGAAAATTATAAAGTGTTCTTGAATGGGAGGACTCAGCATTACATTACAAAGATGTTAGTTCTCCCTAAATTAATTAAATATTTTAAATAGAATCTCGATAAAAATACCAAGTGTTTTTCTCAAATGAAACCAGCAAGAATAGATATAAACTAAATGTAATGCTGGGCACTAGATTAAATCCTGTATTGGAGGTGGGAGAAATGCTAAAAAGGGTATTATTGGGTCAAAGGGCAAAATAAAAACATGAATGGTCGAATAGATACAAGTGTTGTATCAATGTAAATTCATGAGGTTGGGTCATTGTGCTGTGATTATGTACGAGAATATCCCTAGTTTTAGGAAATGCACACTTGGGGAACTGAGGGGTAAAGGCCATGATGTATGAAATTTATCCTTAGATGGGTCAGCAAAAAAGTTATGTATGAAAGAGGAGAAGAAGAGAAGATGAAACTACAAAACAAATATTAACAAGTGTGATCCTGGGTAAAGGATATGTGGCTATTTTTGTACTACTTCTGTGTTTGCAACAATTTGTAAATTTGAATTTATTCCAAATAAAGAGTAAAACAGAAAAGAATGGGTGGAAAGAGTCTGAAAAGAAGAGCAATTGAAGGAGATTAGTCTGACCATAAAGATACTATTGAAATGGTATGGTTTTGGTACATGAATAGACACACAGACAAAGAAACAGAAAAAAAGTAAAGAAAAGGTTGACTAGCCTAGGGAAATTTAGTTTATTATAAAGGAGGCATCTTAATGTCAATAAATTGAGTTATGATAACTGGGTATCTATCTGGAAAAGATAAAGTTGGATCCGTAGCCCACACTATTCATCAAGATAAACTCCAAATGTAGCAAAGATTTTTATAGAAAAAAAAACCCTCAAAAGTAGCAGAAGAAAATATGGACAAATTTCTTTGTAACATTGGAGTGAGGAAGGCCTTTCTATGATTCAGAGTCCAGAAACCAAATAAAAAGAGATTTATATATTTTACTACACAAAAATATTCTGATGACACAAAAGTAGTTATAAGGCAGAGAAAAATAAGAAATGTTTTTGCATTTCATAAGACTGAAGAAGAGTTTTGTTGTTGTTGTTGTTGTTTGTTTGTTTGTTTTTTTCAAGACAGAGTCTCGCTCTGTCACCCAGGCTGGAGTGCAATGGCACAATTCTGGGTCACTGCAACCTCCACCTCCCAGGTTCAAGCGATTCTCTTGCCTCAGCCTCCTGAGTAGCTGGGATTATAAGTGAACACCACTATGCCTAGCTAATTTTTGTATTTTTAGTAAAGATGGGGTCTTGAACTCCTGACCTCAAGTGATCTACCTACCTTGTAAGGTTGCTAATATAAAATAAATATTCTGAAATCAATAGTGTCATCGTACCTCCCAAAGTATCATCACGCCCACACCCTCTTTGTTTTTTAAAGATATAAGGATTTCATTGAAATCAAGACAAAAATACAACCCAATATAAAAATAGGCAAAGGATGTGAACAGATAATTCTCAGAAAAAGAAATACAAATGACTTTAAACTCATAGAAGATGCTCAATTTCACTCAAAATATGAGAGCTGCAAGTTAAAACAAAATTGACATGCCATTTATCATCTGTGAGCTTGGTTTAAAAAAATCCAAATGTTTGATGACACATACTTTTGGCAAGAAACTATTATGCATTGCTTATTGGAGTCCCAACGAGTACAATCCTACATAAAGCAATTTGGAAATATCTCTCAAAATTACACATTTCTACTCTCTGACCAGTAATCCCACTTCTGGAAACTTACATCAAATATATTTCACATGCATGAAATAACTTGTGTTCAAGGTCATGCATGGCATCATTGGTTATAACAACAAAACATTGTAAAAGATCCAAATCGACCTAGTTAAATACTCTAAGATACAGCCTACAGAATGGAATAATAGGCAGCTATAAAAATGAGTGAAAATTGCTCTTTATACTGATGTGAAAAGATCTCTAGAATATACTGAATGAAGAAGGCAAAGTAAAAAATAGAAAAAAGTGTATCTTATGCAAAATGCAATCCTGTGCAATAAAGGGGGGGAATAAAAATACATATTTAGATTTTCTACATTACATATTAAATACTGGAAAGATCCTCAATAAATTATAAAACCAGTCAACTGTAGAGGAGGGAGAGGGAAATTGGGGTGAAAGTGAATATACTCAGGGTGAACCTATTGCATCACTTCGACTTTTTAAACCATCTAAAGGTATTCCCTCTTCAAAAAATAAACAAATAAACAGCTTCTTAAAAACATAAATGTTCTTAAAAAAATTAGGAGTGATAATAGAATTATAATCTTTGTAGACTTGCTTGGTATTTTAGCATTCATAACATTCAATGAAATCTCCAAAAACAATTTTTAATTTGTAGATATTTAGTATCATTTAGCTTTGAGTCTTTTTAAAAAAAGTCCTATTTGAGAATTGTTTACATCTTGTCGAGGATGACCTCAAAGGAGAATATCAGCTGTGCTACCCTAGAGTTTATATGGAGGAAAACTCTAAAATTGACGTAGAAAACCACCATGTTGAAACAGCTTTGATTAAGATAGAATATAAACAACGAATAAACAAAGTTCCAAGAAAAATGAGGTATCTCAAACCCATTCTGTTTTCACTAATCAAATTTCAAACAACAGGCTTTTAAAAAGGGTTTCAAGAAGATAGTTCGTTTTACTCTTTAGTCTATGCAAAAATTTAAATAGAAAGCTTGATAAAAATATTGCTATAGACTGCCAACTATTTTTAGTGGCAGATGAAGGATTTTTGACATTTGATGAAGATATAAAGTTCCTTCTATAAAATGTGTTACTAAAAGCAGTTTCTAGAATTAAAGTCTGCTGTGTGTAAGAAGGTTAATGATATTATTAAATGTGCTACTTTTATACTCTCTATATCAGACACGTGGACATGAAGAAATAACCAGAATTCTTTTTAAAATATAAGATAGCATGATGGGTTACTGGCAATAGACAAAGAGAGTAGATCTTTTCCATATTCTTCAGCAAAAGCAAACTATGTGATATACAAGATATTGTGGAATTGCCTTTGCCTTGTCATATACTTATTTGAGATGTTCACAGAAGATAACGTAACACTTATGACATATTAGGAAGGCCGCTTAAATAGCAAAATAAAGCCTTGACCTTTTACTTTGCAGATCACTGTAGCAACACAACAACTCATGTGATTTGCAGAGAAAAGAGTTTACTGGCTGGAACCTGCTGTAGACATAATCAACTCGGTTGTCTTGTGAGGGCAATATTCCTTTCACTGAAACTTGTAAAGATCCTCCTGTCAGCTTATTCTAATGACAATTGTGAAACTGATGAGCATGCAGTAAAACCTGAGATGCAGATGTTGTGATGGTTAATATTAAGCATCAACTTGATTGGATCAAAGGATGCAAAGTGTTGTTCTTGGATGTGTCTGTGAGGGTATTGCCAAAGGAGATTAACATGTGAGTCAGCAGATTGGGAGAGGCATACCCACCCTCAATCTGGGTGGGTACCATCTAATCAACTGCCCGTGCAGCTAGAATACAGCAGGCAGAAGAAGTTGGAAAGAGCAGATTTGCTGAGTCTTCTTGTCTTCATCTTTCTCCTGTGCTGCGTGCTTCCTGCCCTCAAACATCAGATTCCCAAGTTGTTTGTTGTTCAGCTTTTGGACCCTTGGACTTACACTAGTGATTTACTAGGGGCTCTCGGGTCTTTGGCCACAGACTGAAGGCTGCACTGTCCACTTCCCTACCTTTGAGGTTTTGGGACTCAGATGGGCTTCCTCAGCTTGCAGATGGCCTATTGTGGGACTTCACTTTGTGATCATATGAGTCAATTATCCTAATAAACTCCCCTTTGTATATACATATATCCTACTAGTTCTGTCCCTTTAGAGAACTCTGACTAATACAGATGTAAATTCAGAATTTAAATTATATAATTCCATCATATCCTATTTCAAGATTTAGGATTTAAAGTCAAATATTTTCTCAAGCGATTGTTTGAAGCAGCAAGTACATGGGAAAAATATTGTAAATAAAATTATATTTGAGGACAATTATTTTAAATCTGATTTTGAAAATATTAGAGGCCAGGCATAGTGGCTCATGTCTGTTATTCCAACAAGATTACAGGAGTGAGCCACCATGCCTGGCCTCTGAATAGTTTGGGAGGCTGAGCCAGGAGGATCATTTGAGGACAAGAGTTTGAAACCAGTGTCAGCAACAAAGTAAGCCTCTATCTCTACAAAAAATAAAAAATTCAGCCAGCTATGGTGGCTCATATGTAGTCCAACTACTCAGATGGCTGAAGCAGGAGGGTTGCTTGAGTCCAGGAGTTTGAGGTTACTGTGAGCTCTGACTGGGCCACTGCCACACTCCAGCTTGGGTGACACAGTGTGACCCTATCTCAAAAAAGAAAATAGTCATACAGCATTTTCTTTCAGCAGTGCACTAAGCTTCAGTTTGTAAAACTGCCATAATGAAAATGTACTGTTACTGTCAACTTAATATTTAATCAAGAATGAAAGAAGATGTTTTTACCTTGATCAGGTACTATTAAAGAGAAAGAAAATTTCAATAACATGGTAGCAACATCACCATAAGCAGTGTCTAAATGGCAGAGAAAGCCAAAAAAATATTTTGCTCTGGTACCCACCTCCGACGAAAATGAGCATCTATTTAGAATTACAGATATTTAGTATAGTGACCATAGGAGCAAACTGACAGTGCTGCTGAATTACTGTAATGGCAAATTGTTAAAATCTGACGATTAACACTGTAATAATACAATTCAAAAAATTGTATATTAATATCCAAGTGTTCATGGCAGCATTATTCACAATAGCCCCAAATTGGAAACAGTGTGAAAGTCCATCAGCTGGTAAATGGATAAATAAAATTGCTGTATCCATACAACCCTTGAAAATAAAAAGGAACAAAGTCCCGATACATGCCAAAATGTAGGTGAATCTCATGAAAGAAGCCAGACAATGCATAACTACGTATTGTATAATTCCACTTATATGAAATTTCTAGAAAGGGTAAAACTATGGAGTCAGAAGGAAAATCAGTGGTTATCTCAGACTAGGGGTAGAAGAGCGATGAGCTGCAAATAAGCATGAGATAGCTTTTTAGAGTGATAGGAGGGTTCTAAAACTAGATTACAACTGTCAGAGTTAAGCAGTACAGCTCTTAATTTAGGTTTTTGATCCATTATGAATTCATTTTCTGTTTTGCCTAAACAAGACTATTTTCTCACAGTTTTGGAGACTAGAAGTCCAAGATCAAGGTGGTGTTGGGGCTGGTGTCTGGTGAGGGCTCTCTTCCTGGCAGGAAATGGCCACCTTCTCATTGCGTTCTCACATGGCCTTTCCTCTGCGTGCATGGGCAGACAGAGAACACTCTCTGCTGTCTCTGCCTCATTGCAAACAAGAGGATCATCAGAAGAGTAAGTGTCCCTCTCTCTCTCATGGGGGGGCCACCTCTTCCTTCAAGGCTGTTAGAGCCACAACCTCACCAACCCATGTGACAAGGGGGCTGATCTTGACCTCCTGGGCTAAAGCAATTCTCCCATCTCAGCCTCCCAAAGTGCTGGGACAAACATGAGCCACTGTGCTCTGCCAGATGGCTATTAAAAAAAAAAAGAAAATGACAAGTGTTTTGAGGATGTGGAGCAATTAGATCTCTTGTGTACTGTTAGTGGGAATGTAAAATGGTAGATATTTTACATCCTCCTTTCAACTTAGGTGATTTTTATTTCATTTTCTTGCCTAATTCTTTGACTGGGACTTCCAGTACTATGTTGAATAGAAGTGATGAAACTTGGCATCCTTATTTTGTTCCTGATCTCGGAGGAAAAGTGTTTAGTCTTTCACCATTGATTATGATATTTTCTATGGGTTTTTCATATGTGGCTATTATTACATTGAGGTAATAATCCTTCTATTTCCAGTTTAATGTGTATTTTTTAATCATAAAAGGGTGTTGAATTTTGCCAAATGCTTTTTCTTATCAATTGAGAAGATCAAGTGGTTTTTCTCCCCACAAAACGTGTTAATGTGGTATATTATAATAATGGATTTTCAAAGGTTGAACCATCCTTTCATTCCAGGAATAAATCTCACTGGGCTATGATGTGTAATTCTTTTTTTTTTTTTTAGTGAAAGGAAGAAAGAAAGAGAAGGAGAGAGGGGAAGAGAGAACAGGAGTCTTGCTCTATTGCCCAGGCTGGAATGCAATCTAAAAATAGGTATTAAAAACCTCTTTTATGCCAATAATTGTGCTTAACAGCGGAGACAGGAAGGAATAAGGGAAGAAAATAAACAAACAGCCAACCGATATTTCACTGAAGTCTGTGAAATGCTATGTAAATGCTGAAGAGTGATTTACTTCCAATTATGTGGTCACTTTCAAAATAGGGGTAATGTGATACTGAGAAAAATGTATGTTCTGTGGACCTGGGGTGAAGAATTCTATAAATATTCACTGAGTTTACTTGTTCCAGGTCTGAGTTCTAATCAGAGATGTCCCTGTTAATTTTCTATCTCATTGATCCGTCATATATTAACAATGTGGTGTCAAAGTCTCCTGCTATTATTGTGCGGGAGTCCAAGTCTCTGATGTGTAATTCTTTTAATGTGCTGCTGAGTTCAGTTTGCTGGTATTTTGTTGAGGATTTTTGCATCAGTATTCATAAAGGATATTAGTTTGTAGTTTTCTTCTCTTGTAGTATCTTTTTTTGGCTTTGGTAGCACAGTAATGCTGATCTCATAGAAAGAGTCAGGGAATGTTTTCTCTTCTTCAGTTTTTTGGAAAAGTTTGAGAAGGATTGGTATTAGTTCTTTAAATGTTTGGTGGAATTCACCAGTGATGCCATTAGATCCAGGGCTTTTCTTTTCTTTTTTTTTTGAGACAGTCTCGCTCTGTTACCCAGGCTGGAGTGCAGTGGTGTGATCTCAGCTCACAGCAATCTCCACCTCCTGGGTTCAAGGGATTCTTGTGCCACAGCTATCCAAGTAGTTGAAATTACAGGCACGTGCCACCACACCTGGTTAATTTTTGTATTTTTAGTACAGACAGTGTTTTGCCACATTGGCCAGGCTGGTCTTGAACTCCTGGCCTCAAGTGATCTGTCTGCCTCAGCCTCCCAAAGTGCTGGGATTACAGGTGTGACCCACCATGCCCAGTCTAGATCTAGGGCTTTTCTGACACCCCCAAATCTGGAGATTTTTATTTAATGATTCAATTTCCTTGTTCTTTATAGATCTACTCAGATTCTCTGTTTCTTCATAATTTAATCTTGATAGATCTTGTGTTTCTAGGAATTTGTCCATTTCATGTGGGTTTTTCAATTTGCTGACATATAATTGTTCTTCACACTCTCTTATAATCCTTTTTATATCTGTAGAATCAGTAATAATGTCTCCACTTTCATTTCTGATTTTGGTAATTCATGTCTTCTTCTTCTTTTCTTTTTTGAGACGAGATCTCGCTTTGTCTCTCAGGCTGGAGTGCAGTGGCCTGATCATGGCTTATTGCAGCCTCGACATCCCAGGCTTAAGCAATCCTCCCACCTCACCCTCCTGAGTGGCTAGGACTACAGGGGTACACCATCATACCAAGTTAATTGAAAAACAAATTTTTTTTAGAGTTGGAGTCTCAGTATGTTGCCCAGGCTGATCTCAAATCCCCTGGGCTCAAGTCATCCACCGACCTCAGCCTCCTAAAGTGCTGGGATTTCAGATGTGGCCACTGCAACTGGCTTCACTTTTAAAGTCCATCTAGCTAAATGTTTGTTATATTCAAAGAACCAGCTTTTGGTTTTATTAATTTTCTTTGTTATTTTTCTGTTCTCTACTCTGTTGATCTCTGTGCTCATCTTTTAAATATCCTTTTTTATGTTAGCTTTGGGTTTAGTTTCTTCTCTTTCTAGTTCCAGAAGTTTAAAGTTAGGTTTGACATTTTTCTGTATAATGTAAACATGTAAGCTATAAATTTCTACTACAGCACTGCCTTAAGGCACAAGACAATAAATTTTGGTGTGCTTTGTTTTCATTTGCGTTTGAATTTCTTCTTTGATTTATTGGTTATTTTCATAAGTTTGTAAATTTTCTAGTTTTATGTCTGTTATTTTTTATTTTTTATTGCATTTTAGATTTTGGGGTACCTGTGAAGAACATGCAATATTGTTGCATAGATACACACATGGCAGTGTGATGTGCACTGCCTTCCTCCCCATCACCTATATCTGGCATTTTTCCCCATGCTATCTCTCCCCAACTCCCCACCCCTCACTGTCCCTCCCTTATTTCCCCCTGACAGACCCCAGCATGTGATGCTCCCCTCCCTGTGTCCATGTATTCTTATTGTTCAACACCCACCTATGAGTGAGAACATGTGGTGTTTGATTTTCTGTTCTTGTGTCAGTTTGCTGAGAATGATGGTTTCCAGGTTCATCCATGTCCCTACAAAGAACATGAACTCATCGTTTTTGAGGCTGCATAGAATTCCATGGTGTATATGTGCCATATTTTGCCCATCCAGTCTATCATCAGTGGGCATTTGGGTTGGTTCCAGGTCTTTGCTATTGTAAACAGTGCTGCAATGAACATTCGTGTGCATGTGTCCTTATAGTAGAATGATTTATAATCCTTTGGATATATACCCAGTAATGGGATTGCTGGGTCAAATGGAATTTCTATGTCTAGGTCCTTGAGGAATCGCCACACTGTCTTCCAAAATGGTTGAACTAATTTACACCCCCACCAACAGTGTAAAAGGGTTCCTATTTCTCCACATGCTCGCCAGCATCTGTTGTCTCCAGATTTTTTAATGACCGCCATTCTAACTGGCCTGAGATGGTATCTCAGTGTAGTTTTGATTTGCATTTCTCTAATGGCCAGTGATGATGAGCATTTTTTCATATGTTTGTTGGCCTCATGTATGTCTTCTTTTGTAAAGTGTCTGTTTGTGTCCATCACCCACTTTTGAATGGGCTTGTTTGTTTTTTTTTCTTGTAAATCTGTTTTAGTTCTTTGTAGATTCTGGATATCAGTCCTTTGTCAGATGGGTAGAATGCAAAATTTTTTTCCCACTCTGTTGGTTGCCAATTCACTCTAATGACTGTTTCTTTTGTTGTGCAGAAGCTGTGGAGTTTGATTAGGTCCCATTTGTCTGTTTTGGCTTTTGTTGCCAATGCTTTTGGTGTTTTGGTCATGAAGTCCTTGCCTACACCTATGTCCTGAATGGTTTTGCCTAGATTTTCTTCTAGGGCTTTTATGGTGTTAGGTCTTATGTTTAAATCTTTAATCTATCTGGAGTTAGTTTTAGCGTAAGGTGTCAGGAAGGGGTCCAGTTTCTGGTTTCTGCACATGGCTAGCCAGTTTTCCCAACACCATTTATTAAACAGAGACTCCTTTCCCCATTGCTTGCTTTTGTCAGGTTTGTCAAATATTGGATGGTTGTAGATGTGTTGTGTTGCCTCCGAAGCCTCTGTTCTGTTCCATTGGTCTATATCTCTGTTTTGCTACCAGTATCATGCTGTTTTGATTACTGTAGCCTTGTAGTGTAGTTTGAAGTGATGCCTCCCACGTTTTTCTTTTTGCTTAGAATTGACTTGGCTACGCAGGCTCTCTTTTGGTTCCATATGAAGTTTAAGGTGGTTTTTTCCAGTTCTGTGAAGAAGATCAATGGTAGCTTGATGGAGATAGTGTTGAATCTGTAAATTACTTTGGGAAGTATGGCCATTTTTATGATTTTGATTCTTCGTAACCATGAACATGGAATGTTTCTCCATCTGTTTGTGTCCTCTCTTATTTCGTTGAGCAGTGGTTTGTAGTTCTCCTTGAAGAGGTCCTTTACATTCCTTGTTAGTTGTATTCCAAGGTATTTTATTCTCTTTGTAGCAATTGTGAATGGCAGTTCATTCTTGATTTGGCTCTCTTTAAGTCTGTTATTGGTGTATAGGAATGCTTGTGATTTTTGCACATTGATTTTATATCCTGAGACTTTGCTGAAGTTGCTTATCAGTTTCAGGAGATTTTAGGCTGAGACGATGGGGTCTTCTAGATATACAATCATGTCGTCTGCAAATAGAGACAATTTGACTTCCTCCTTTCCTATTTGAATACCCTTTATTTCTTTTTCTTGCCTGATTACTCTGGCTAGAACTTCCAATACTATATTGAATAGGAGTGGTGAAAGAGGGCATCCTTGTCTAGTGCCAGATTTCACAGGGAATGCTTCCAGTTTTTGCCCATTCAGTATGTTATTGTCTGTTGGTTTGTCGTAAATAGCTTTTATTATTTTGAGATATGTTCCATCAATACCTAGTTTATTCAGGGTTTTTAGCATAAAGGGCTGTTGAATTTTGTCAAAGGCCTTCTCTGCATTAATTGAGATAATCATGTGGTTTTTGTCTTTGGTTCTGTTTATGTGGTAAATCACGTTTATAGACTTGTGTATGTTGAACCAGCCTTGCATCCCCGGGAGGAATCCTGCTTGATTGTGGTGGATAAGCTTTTTGATGTGCTGTTGCAATCAGTTTGCCAGTATTTTATTGAAGATTTTTGCGTCTATGTTCATCATGGATATTGGCCTGAAGTTTTCTCTTCTTGCTGAGTCTCTGCCAGGTTTTGGTATCAGGATGACGTTGGTCTCATAAAATGATTTTGGAAGGATTCCCTCTTTTTGGATTATTTGGAATAGTTTCAGAAGGAATGGTACCAGCTCCTCTTTGTATGTCTGGTAGAATTTGGCTGTGAACCCATCTGGACCTGGGCTTTTTTTGTGTGGTAGGCTCTTAATTGCTGCCTCAACTTTAGACCTTGTTATTGGTCTACTCAGGGTTTTGACTTCTTCCTGGTTTATGTTTGAGAGACGCAGTGTCCAGGAATTTATCCAATTCTTCCAGGTTTACTAGTTTATGTGCATAGAGTTGTTTGTAATAATCTCTGATGATTGTTTGTATTTCCGTGGAATCTGTGGTGATATCCCCTTTATCATTTTTTATTGCATCTATTTGATTATTCTCTCTTTTCTTTTTTATTAATCTGGCTAGCGGTCTGTCTATTTTGTTGATCTTTTCAAAAAACCAGCTCCTGGATTTATGGATTTTTTTAAGGTTTTTTTTTGTG